CTCAAAAATTTTGCCGAAAATGGGAATGATTGAGATGGGACGGTAATTCCCAATTTCATCTAAAGCTCCCTTTTTGAACACTGGTAGCACTTTTGTTACTTTTAAAACATCTGGGAAAATCCCCTCAGTAAGACAATTATTATAAAGTATAATTAATTTGTCAATAATAATATCGATTGTTTCCACAATTATTTTTTTGTTTAAGAAATAAAAATCCGCGCAGTGTGAATTTTTCAATCTATGCAAAACATTCCTGATTTCAGTAATAAAAATAAAGAATTGCAAGGAGAGTGTACATCTTTCAAAAAATCTATGGCTACATTTTCATTTGTAGAATTAAAAGAACTTCTAATATGTTTAGCCACTGAAGTAAAGTAATTATTGAAATCGTTTGATGTAATCGCGCTTGGACAGATATTTTTATTTTGAAATTTATTTCTGTGATAATTTATAACTTTCCAACTATCACGAGATATATTTTCAGAATTAGAAAAAAAATTTTCATAAGCCAGTTTTTTCTTTAATGATATTGTTGATTTATAGTGCTTCTTAAATTTTTTATACTCACTATATTCCTTTGTAACATCAGCAATTATCTTGACTGTGGAAAGATTTTTTCGCATTTCTATTAATTCATCATCAAACCAAGAAATTGGAGCTTTACTATGATTTCGTGATTTTTTTAATGGAAAATTAATTTCAGTTAACTTAACATACATTTCGGTAATAAATTGAGCTAATTCTGTTGCTGTTTTGAGAGAAACAACTGAAGCCCAGTCAACGTTGTTTAACGACTGTTTTAACATCCGGATACCATTACTTGTTATATGTCTTCTGTATGGATTAGCACTGTTTTTTTTTTCAGATTTTATTTTTAAGTAGAGAAATTGTGCATGATGATCAGAAATACACGGGTCCACAATTCCACAACCAACTATCTCACTGCTTATGTTTGTTAAGATGTTATCTAAACAAGTTGCTGATCTAGTTGTGATTCTAGTAAATTCATTAATATTTATGGTTAATCCAAAAGTAGAAATTAGATCACGGAAACTGTTTAATTCATTAGAAGCTTTTTTAAAATCAATGTTGAAATCTCCAATTATTATTATTTCTAAAAAATTAGCAGAGCAAAACTCCAATAACTTTTCAAATAGCTCTAGAAAAACTTTAAAATTCCCATTTCCGGTTCTATACACTGTTACCAAAATAGTTTTATGTAATACAACTTTGATGTTATAAAAGGAAAACAGACTAATAATCGGGACACTCAATAATCGTAATTCATTCATAGTCAGTATCCGGAATTAAATATGTAAATACCTAGTCATTATAAGTACTTAATGGCATCAAAAGTTATCGTCGGTCAGATAGCCAAGCGGGCCAGGCGGCCGATTCTCATTCGACTACTTCGACACTGCTGTGTCTGATCGGCCTTTGGTGGAGCAGTACGGCAAGAGATAAGGGCTTGCGGCGGCTTGGTGATACTCCTCCATAGATACCTACCGGAAATATATATATATATATATATATATATATATATATATATATATATTATATCAATTCTTTTATATCATCATCATCATTTTGGCTTTCCAACCTTGTGTGGGTCCTATCCTCCCCAAGAATTCTCTTCCATCGCCTTCCTCCGCCAAGCTCGTATAACTATATTTCTCATATCTTGGTCTATGTTATCTAGGAATCTTGTTCTGGGTCTTCCTCTTCTTCTTTAACCAATAGGTCTATCAAGGAGCGTTTTTCTAGCTGGGTCGGTTTGCTCCATCCGCATTACATGGCCTACCCACCTCAGATGTCCTATCTTAATGTGTTTTACGATATCTGGTTCCTGGTATATTCTATAGAGTTCGAAGTTGTATCGTCTTCTCCAGACACCATTTTCATTTACCGCTCCATAGATTCGCCTCAGTATTTTTCTTTCGAAACATCCTAACATTTGTTCATTGCTTTTTGTTAAAGTCCAGGTTTCTGAACCATATGTTAGGACTGGCCGTATTATTGTTTTGTAGAGTTTTACTTTTGTATTTCTTGATATAGCTGTAGATTTAAAAAGGAGATTAAGCCCAAAATAGCATCTATTAGCCGTGCAAATTCTGCGGTTTATCTCTGCGGTAATGTCATTTTCAGTATTGACGAGCGTTCCCAGGTATACAAATTCGTCGTTTTCTATGACAAGTGGCCGTCGTATTTGTGGTTGCGGACCTATTTTCATGTATTTCGTTTTATTAATGTTTATTATTAAACCCATTTTTGTAGCCGCTTCCTTTAGTGCTACATACGCCTCTCGTGCTGCGTTTTCCGTTCTCCCAACAATATTGATATGATCAGCATTTGCTAGGATTTGCAAAGATTTGTAATATATTGAAACGGTCGTTGTGATTTGTGACGTACGTATTACTTTTTCCAGAGCTAGATTGAATAGTATACAGGAGAGTGGGTCTCCCTGACGTAGCCCGTTATTTGTATTAAAAGGTTCAGAGAGTTTCCCCTGGATTCGTACTCTGCATTCAACTTTTTCAAGGGTTAGTTTGGTTAGACTTACCAACTGATTTGGTACTCTCAGGTCTATCATTTCTCTAAACAATTCTCTTCTATTTACAGAGTCGTAGGCTGCCTTGTAGTCTATAAATATATGGTGCGTGTCTACACCGTATTCCAGTGTTTTCTCTAGAATTTGTCTCAGGGTTGAAATCTGATAAATTGTTGATTTACCACCTCTGAAACCAGCCTGGTATTGTCCTATTATTTGCTCTGCATACGGTGCCATACGATGGCATAGTATATTGGAGAATATTTTATACGCTGCATTTAGGAGCGTAATTCCTCGATAGTTAGAGCATTCAAAGATATCTCCCTTTTTGTGTATGGTGCAAAGTATTCCAATATTCCAATCACTGGGGAGGGACTTCTGTATCCATATTTCTTTTATAAGCTGCTGTAGCGCTATTATGATATCGTGGCCACCTTCTTTATATAATTCCGCTGGAAGATTATCTATTCCGGGTGATTTATTTCTGACTAGTTTGTTTACAGCGTCTTTAACTTCCAGGATCGTTGGTGGATTCTCCTCCCTCTCGTCTGCTCCGCTTACCTCACAGCTTTCGTCTTCCGGGTTTTCTTCTTCTTCCTCTATATTAAGTATCTGGTTAAAATATTCCGTCCATCGATTTAGTACGTCTGTTCTTGTTGTTAATAGATCGCCATTCAAATTTCAATTGAATGGAATGGTCACTTCGTCTCAGGACCATTTTACTCATGTAGAGTCATACGCCGCCATGTTACCTATCCAACGGTAACTGAACCATCACAAATTAGAAATACTAATAATGTAAAACAACTTCAAATTTATAACATTTAAAGGGTTTTTACCCATATATTTTGGTGGCTACTAGCATGTACAACCCTTTGCACTGATGATGGATTGTTTAATCCGAAAACGTTTTGCAATGTGTTTGTGATAGCCCGTTTGAGGCATTTTTATATACCTTTTATAAAGGATTTTAACAAAATTGAATTAAATTTTTATATTACTCCATCCTGTAAATAAAAAAAGTCTATGTTTTAAACATGCAGTATTTACAAAAATTAGAATTCCTAATCTAGAATCTAGAAATAGTTCACACCAAAAAACTAATTAGAAATTATTTACAGTGTACATAATACAGACCAGGTACAAATAAACGATGAATAACTGGATCTTCGTTGACATAACCTTTTAAGTATTTTTTTACTTTTTGTTCAGTTTTTGCATTATAAAATCCAAATATATAAAATTAAGGACTTATTGACACTTACCAAATACATAAAACTGCTTTTCCTGAACTGCTAAATCCTGGGAAAACTAATACGTATTTTTGAAAATTTTAAACGCAGAATGAAAGATTAAATTATTACTAAGAGTCGAAAGTCCATGAAAACTGCTATAATGTTTACTTTAGTAAGTTACAGGGGTGAAATTGAAGAGAAAATTAAGTGTGATTTTTAATTTCAAATATCTCATTCAAAAAAACTTTTTGTTTATTCTAATGGACTTTCGGTCCTCGGTAATAATGCAATCTTTCACTCTGCGTTTAATTTTTCAAAAATATTTAATAGTTTTTTCAGGATTAAAAAAATGAATGCATTTAAAAAGCATCGGCCCGAAATTTTGCGCCTACGCTCTTAATGCTATGACGACTTGTGGAAATCTTATTTAATTTTTTTTACTCGTCTCGGACAGGTGATTTAAGAGCGTTCAATAGATTTATTTCCTTTTTTAAATAGCTTATCATGGATTCAGTTGATTTCGACCCCGTCGTGTTTTAAAAAGAGAATTAATTTGTTTTCGGCGCTTAACTTAGAAGATAAAATTAAATTGAAAAAATAGTCAAAAACGACCTAAATTAAGTTTATCACAAAAGATGGAAAAACAACAAGACATTTCAATCGTAAATGGTACGAGAAGTTTAATTAGTTTTGCGGCAGCGAAACTGAAAATAAATTATATTGTTTTCCTTGTCTGTTGTTTGGAGGCGATTCATCTTGGACTGGAAGTGAAATTTATACTATAAAAAAATTTGTGGACAAAGCTAGCAAACACGCTACCTTAAAAAATCATATTTCGTCGCATGAATTGTTCCATTTGTTGAAAAAAGTTCGAATAGATCATGCAATTGACCACGGAAAAAAAATTGATGCTCAACGTCGCAACGAGCGTGTTGTTAAAAATCGCAAAATTGTCGGTCGTTTAATAGATGTAGTTCGTTTTTTGGCTTGTCAAGAATCTTCTCAAAAAAAAATTACTAAATTCACTAGACAGTTCGGACTGGGAATAGCGAACCGAGTATACTGTGCTATTGGGCTAGAGGTAAAGGAGGCCACGAACACGAAATACTTTTTGGAAAACTTTTGTACAAGTTTTCTCACGGCAACACTGTGTATAGATATTTAAATGAGTGATTGACTGATTGTCAATGTCAATGTACAATCAGAACGACAAAAACAAACAATGTGTCTTGTGTCAGTGAATCTGAATTATGAGTGCAAGGAGTTTGTGATGAGTGCTTAATTAAGTTATAGTATTTATTCTATATTAAATTATGTAGAACATAATCTGTATTGTGTTGATTTACACATTAACTATGTGTAAAGATGTTAAAAATGATGATTGGTCCAAGGAGGATACGGAGAATTGTTTTCGCAATTTTTATATTTTCCGTTCTATATATATTTGGAGTTTTTCATCATATTTTTGAGACTGATTTTTATACAAACTTTCATTATCCGTACGATGGGGATATAGAATATTTAACGCAGCAATTGAAGGCCGGCGAACCACCTGATGTTTTACCTATTAATTTCTATCACTTTGAATATAACAAGAAATGTGTTTCAAAATGTTCCAATGTGAAACAGTTACGATTGGTTTACATCATAAAGAGTGCTCCAGAGAATTTTGATAGAAGAATTGGAATACGCAATTCATGGGGGTATGAAAGACGATTTTCTGATGTAGAAATAAGAACAGTTTTTTTGGTTGGAGAACGAAATTCAAAAATTTTAAAGGAGTCATTAAAACAAGAATACTCACAGTTTCATGATATTGTCCATGCCAATTTTACAGATAGTTATTACAACAATACTTACAAAACCATGATGGGTTTGCAGTGGGCTGTCAGGTATTGTCCAAATTCACAATATTATATGTTTGTTGATGATGATTACTATGTGTCCACAAAAAATGTTTTGAGGTATTTGAAACATCCCACAAAGTATCCAGAATATGTAAAAAATCCTCTTAGTGGAGTTAGTCAACTTTTAAATAGAAAACCTCTTGCTTATAATGATTTAGATGAGGATGAAAGATTATATACAGGTTATGTATTTCAATCATCACCCCATAGACATTTCACAAGTAAGTGGTATGTATCACTTTCTGAGTATCCTTATCACATGTGGCCTCCTTATGTAACAGCTGGAGCTTATATATTGTCAAAAAGTGCCTTAATAGACATGTACTATTCAAGCTTTTATGTAAAACACTTCAGATTTGATGACATATATTTGGGTCTTTTAGCCTATAAGGCAAAAATTAATCCTCTACATTGTGATGAGTTTTATTTTTATAAGAAGGTGTATTCTAAATTTGGTTTTAATTTCACTGTTGCTACTCATGGATATGGAGATGCTAAGGAGTTAGTACATATGTGGAATGAGCAAAGAAGCTTGGGCTTCGCTTAGGAGATGATCACTTTTAAATTCAAATTTATGCGATATTTTAATACTATTCAGATATCCTCCACAAAAATAAAATTTTATATTTTACATAAAATATGAATTGCTTTATCTTGAGTGCTGTATTAGCTTAGGGGATAACTGTCATATTGACGATCATCACCTTATTAACTGCTGACAGTGCTGACTGGTAACAAGATTTGGTTGTCTACACATACCCCTGTCTCAGGTTTTCAAGCCACTGTGTTCTTCTTCCTGGACATCTTCTGAATATTTTTCCTGTGTTACTAAATGTAATAAACTCATAAGTATACAACATAATGTAATAAACTGATAAGTATATCAATTGACATCACAAGGAGTGAAATCAAGTGTTCAAATTTATATAATATAAATATTAAAAACAACACATTTAACAATGAAGACAATAAGTAAAAAATAAAAACTTTTATTTCAAAAAATCTGTTATAAAAGGTATATTTATTCTAAAATGCTGTGATGTAAATCTATCTAAAACTATATCATTTAAATTTTACTGCAAATATATATTAATTAACAAAGTTACCATCATTTAAAGGGTTTTTACCCTAATCTTTAGTGGCTTCCCTCATGTTAACCTTGTAACTGCACTGATGATGGACTTATTAGTCCTAAAACATTCTATTATATAACCCGAAAGGGTAATTTTAGAATAAATGTACCTTTTATAAAGGATATTTTAAATAAAAGTTGTTATGATTCATGGTATACAGCCAACTACAGGAATTTCATTTTCCTTGTGAAAGTAAAAAAGAAATAAACAAAATACACAAAATATCTTTATATTACAATTTATGACAATCTTACAATATTTGTTCACTAAGCCTATAGTTTTTGATTTGCAAATAGTAACCAATATAAATTTGTGTCTGTCATTAAAATATGTACCTATACTTAAGTACAAAACTTTGATAAAGGTCTAATAAATAACTTATGATTATATGGGTACTTAATAAAAAATCAATTTTTCTTATTTAATTCAGATCATTTAAACTCTATTGTTATTTTAGTATTAAAAAGTAGTAACACATTTAGAAAGTTCATGCAACTTCAGCAGTTCTATCCACAGAACCTTCAAATATGAAATTAAGCTGCTGGTTCATATACAATAGAATACATTAAATAAATATAGCAATATGATGAATAGTGATTGATACTGAAATTTCTAAGTTTTGGCAATGTAATAACAGCTTTTTTGTTTATGGTATGGCTAGTTTTCATATTTCAATTTTAAATTCATTTTGGTCACATTCAAGTTTTAGTTTTTTTAGACTTATTATCAAAACTGGCTATTACATTAGTGTACAATTTCATAGGGTAACTACATAGTTATAAGCTAATAAAAATGATAATATCCTAAGCATATTCAATATTCTAACCTCTAATTAATTTAACATTCTACGTCATAGAATCCATGACATACATTTGATTCAAATTTTTTGATTTAATTCTCATTGAGTGATTGCTCATGTGCAAAAACTCATCATATAAGACGAGTAACTAGGAAACAGTATAGAATTGTTTAAAAAATCAACTGTTAGGTCATGATTATTAGTCCAGTGTTATAAAATGTAAATATCTACTTCAATCATTCTTGTCATCCAAAGTTTGATCAAATCTGCTGTTATTCAAGTCATAGATTTAATTAGTAATAAATTAATATGAGTCTTAAAAGTAACTGAATTGACTAATAGCCTTTATGAGCTTCAATACAAATTTTTAATTAATTGAACAAGCTATAAATAATTCTGTCATATACACTATCCTCCAATTTGTAACTAATGTGATAAAGTCGAAAACATAGATGTATTCTTATAACCTTTACAGTAATTAACTTTATATATGTACATCTAATTACAAAAGACACTATTTTACCAACAATCATGAAATGTGTACCTTTATTTTAAGATTAGGTTTGAAATTAAGTATATATTATGTATTAAGTATATTGCCTTAAATATTTTATTACTTACTACAAAACAAGTAAAAAACTATTTTATAGTGTACACAAATATAATGTACCTTGCTCATATTATATATATATATATATATATATATATATATATATATATATATATATATATATATATATAAGAATAGATACACAATAACAAAAGAAGTTGTTGATATTCTTTAATTAACTAAATATTAATTAGAGATACTAATGGCGACCTCTTGACATTATATTTTCCAATGGACAAATATATATTGGGATGTCCCAATGGTTGTTAGTTTAGAAGTTAAAAAAACTTGTTTTATGCTTTAGATTTCATGTTATATTAGTAAACATGAGTTTCCATCAAATAACTTTGCCAATCCCATAAATAGTTTGCTAATATTTTTTTTTCTGATAGTTTTACGAAAAAGTTCTTTGAGTTTACAAAAAAAGTTGCTATATAAACTTTATAAAATACTATAACTCTAATCATTGTTACGATATTTTAGAATACTACCTATTTCAAATATGTTCACTCAGTTTCAAACTTATTAATTTGAATTTCGCTAAGTTTACCAAATGTGAAAAGATAAAGATTCTGATAACTAGAGGTTACTGTAATTAATTGTAAAAGGAGTTATGATGCAGTAACTAAACTATGTAGTCAAATCATAACAGTTACCAAAAATGCAGTTTTGAGGATTGGAAGTTGAGTTAAAGAAGGTACTATTCAGAAGAAGAAAAAATCTTGAAGTCAAACTAAAATTGTCCAAAACAAGGCATACATAAGAGTCACTGTCTATAATTTCAATCTTAATTAATAAATTAATGAAATGATCTAAATAATCCAACAAAATTCTGAAACATTTTAATAAATCCTTTTGTTTTCATTTGGAAATCTACTTAAACATAGTAAGTATGTGGGAGTATTCTCAAGTGAATTTGAATGGGTATTTTTTCTTTTCTCTGTATTTCTTTTAGCCTTCCTATTCTTTACTAATTGCTATATGTTTTCTCTAACATTTTGTTTGTTACTACTTTTACAGGAATTTTTCTACATTTCTTGTCATCAGTTGTATAACTTCTTCATTGGTTTTTCCCTGGCAATTATCTTTCAACTTGTTACACTTTTATCCTAGTACTACTTCCTGCTGGGTTTAGAGGGTATTATTACTTTACTGTATAACTTAATTTTTAATCTACTGTGGACCATTGGATTTTAGAACTCAGTGTAGTGTTCATTTACTCCAGTTTCGCCTTTTATTAATTCCCAGAACAGAGTTAAATTTGAACTTCAGGACATGGAAATTAAAAATCTTTATTAATATCAAAGATTAAATAACACTGCATTGCTCCATTATCAAAACATAAAAGTTGTGATAACAGTGTACCAACTGATTTTTAAATAAACTTAAAAGTAAAATTTTCAAAAGGTACAAATAGTAACTTTTATGTTACATATATATGAAATATCATGATGGCATTAAGAAATAAAGTGTTTCCTTGAATTACATATCTATCTCATCTATATCTTCTTTCATGAATATTAATTGATACATACCATTGGTAATGTGCTTATGCCATACAAAATTAACACAATGTTATAACATTTAACAAATTTAACATAATGTTTAAATAAACATTTATGGATATTATTCTTTTCCTTGAGATCTATTTAGGTATCTTCTTCTCTTATGTTAAAAATAAGAGTCTAGTAGGTTATGCTATATTAGATTTTATCTCTTTCATTAAAAAGACATATATTAACCTAAGATAAATATTTGTACAAAATAGTTATTTGGTAGTGTTAAAACTTTTGGTTTTCTCATGTTTATATGTATGCCTTTAACTTTTATAATACTCAATATTAAGTTTTTCCTAATTTGTTGTTAATAAATATTTAGGAACTATGCTAATGTATGTCTGTTTAAAATGATAAGAACATGACACTTAAAGATATGAAGTACCTTTTAAAATTCATTATTTATAAAGTTCAAAAAGTATGTTACATTAATTCATTACAAATGGGTTAACATTTTTACAACTCCTTTTTTGCATATAAGATAAATTTGATTCTTGATTAATGTATCCAGAGTTTATGATATTAAAACAGGAACGAATTTATATGAAAAATAGTTTGTGACAGAAATAGATTTTTATTGAGTGAGTTTTAAAAAGTAAAATGCATTCAATTTCTATATCTGTGAAGCATTATCCTCGAGACAAAAAGTGCTTGTTGATACTGATTCTTCTGAATTAAATTTATCTGAAAACAAAAATAGAATTTATATACAGATTTATCAAAAGATATGAAATTTGATCAAGAGTTGGGGTATTTATTATTGACAATATTGAAAATTATATTTTGAAATGTTATTTCAAACATGTTCAAATATGCAACTAGATCTATTCCCATTAAACATTTTTTCCTTTCGGAATTATTTCTACAATGACAATTTTTAGACATTGTTGTCTTCGGATACTATATCCATTTACCATCTTACTATGTAATTAAATTTTAAAATTCATAAAATATTCAGAAGAAAAAATGTTATCACTTATTATACCACTGTTTAATAAGTCTATAGAAGCATTTACACAAGTGAGTTTAAGATATTGCAAGCCTTTTTGTTGTTATAAAAATCCAACTTTCGATGTCATAGAATATCACTGAGAAGGACATAGTATCAGAGGGTACCAAGTAGTTACATGTTTTGCAAAATAATTATATTTTCAAAAGGACAAAATCAATTATTAATGTTTAAAAAACATAAACTTAAACAGACATAAAATTAGTTTTAATTTCAAATGTAGGTTAATTATGTTTTGTCTAGTCTTTTGTCAAATGTTTATTTATAAGACTGTACATGTAGAAAGTGATATAAATAATAGAAATTGTTATTTATTTCTAGTAATTTGTTATGTAAAATAGTTGTGGAATAAAATTTTTAAAAGTCTTATAGCTTCTTATCAACACTACATATGTTAGTTTTAGTCAAAACGAGATTATGCTATCAGCTAACGGTTTCAACGACTTTTGCAGGTGTTTTATGTGTACCATATACCTATGCAAAGATTCATTTTTATACCGTTCTGAAAATTATACGAAAACGACTTA